CAGGCAACTTTATTAGTCACTTCCAGTTTGCTTTTTGAACTTCAATAAAACTCCTTTCTTCAATGTCTATGCTAACAGCTTTCACTCCCAGGAACACAGGGTAGGTGAAGGCAGCTTGTGGTAGGGAGTGCGTGTGGATATGAAACAGGGTTGGGGAAGTCAACGGTTTCTGTGGGTTTACTGATGGGATCCAGGGATACCAACTCAAGTGTCCAGTGAGCTAGCAGGACAGAAGACAAAGGGGAGTGAAGTCCTCAGAGCTGAACTGCAGGACCCCGTACCCTTCCAAGCCATTTATATATATTTTTGCAAAAAAAAAAAAAAAAAAAAAAGCTGGCTTTGTTTAAGGGATAGGCATGTTGTGATGCATTTCTTAAATACATTTCTGAATTAGAGAAATGCATAGTAGAGGTGAAGAGCTGTGGTGGCATGGTGCCTAAGGCACTTGACTGCTGACCAGAAGGCTGGCAGTTCAAACCCCCCAGCCGCTCCTCGGAAGGAAGGTTGGGCAATCTACTTCCGTAGTGATACTGCCTCGGCAACCCAAGGAGGGGTGACTGTGAGTCTGATCAGATGCTACGGCAGTGTGTTGTTGTTGTGCGTTGTCCAGATACACTAAAACATCTTTAACATAATAGTCATAATAATGTTTTGATGTATGTTCCAAAGTAGTGCCCATCTGTGATTACAGACCACTGTCTGTACCTCAAAGTTTTAACATAATAGGCTTTATGGGAGTTGGGACCACAGACACATATGAAGTCAGACATCACCCAAGGGACACTATGTGACACGACTGTACCGGGGCCCCACCCCAGTACCCTGCTGTATCACAGACCCTGGGTGTCCAGCTCAGCATTCTGTGTTTGAACAAACCCTCCCAGTAATTCTGCTGCAAGCTCAGGTTTGAAAGTCACTGTAAAAAAATGTACCCAGAGTGTTAAAACACCTGACGACACAAAGCAGAATGAACAAGCTCATTCCGGCCCTACCAGGTCACTCTATTAATGACAGGCTTCTCTTTGAGAAACACACAGCCTTGATCTATGGATGGAAGCCAGGGAAGCCAGGGCGACTGTCTACAATTAGTCACTGGTTTTACATATATTAAGAAGCTCTGGTGGTTAATGTATTTGGCTGCTAACCAAAAGTTGGTGGTTCAAACCCACCAGCCACTCTTCAGGAGAAAGATGAGGCTGCCAGTCGGCTTCCATAAAGATTTACAGCCTTGAAATCCTATGGGGCAGTTCTACTCTGCCCTATATGGTCATTATAAGTTGGAATTGACTTGATGGCAGGGT